ACGCATTGCGATTTACCCATACGCGTTGCGATTTACGGATACACGTTGCGATTTACGGATACGCGTTGCGATTTATGTGTTCGCGTTGCGATTTTCATATTCGCGTTGCGATTTTGGAAAATCGCAATGCGAATTTGTACTATCGCATTGCGATTTTCAAGAATCGCGTTGCGATTTTGGAAACTGATTTGCGATTCTGGGGATCGCGTTGCGATTTTTATTTTGCGTTGCGATTTTGTTGGTCATTTTGGCAAATCCAAAAAAAATTGGTTAAAATCGTATATTATAAGGCATTTTTGGTCACTGAGGCGATTTTCTCTAAACTATATAGTTATTCACTTAATTTTATTTATTTTTTTAAATTTTTTACTCTATTTTATATTACTTATCTTATTTTTAATTATTTTAATTTGCTCAATGAATTTTACAAATTGAATCATTTTACTCACTCTATCGTTATCTCTATAACGTTGTGATGATGTGGTATATTGACGATTGCCATATTTGCTATCAGTGAAGGAAGAGAACTTGTAGTCGATAAAAGAAGAGAACTCACGGGCGACAACACCAGAGATGCAATCGTTGGGGATTGAACCGTTGGACTCGAAGAAGCTGAGGGAGTTGCGGATGGGGATAGAATTGGTGGAGGCGTGACAGGCGGCGATGATGAGGTAGGAGAAGTCGCAGACTTTGGCAATGGAGACTTCGACTGTGGAGGGGATGAAATGGTTGGAGATTTCGACGGAGAATTGATCGGAGCATGCGGAGGAGAAGCTAAGTTTGGGAAGAAAACATATTAAAAAAGGGTAAATTGAAAATTTATCACTAAACTACTTTAGATTTATAAAAAGATCCCTTATAAGTATTTTATCTAATTTTTAGGGGTTAAAATAAAATTAAACCATTTTATTAACGAGCCATGTCATCAATCCGTTAAATGAAAACAGCCAAAGATTATATTTTTTTGAAATCAATGAGGAAAAATTGATAAAACATAAACGAATGTGATCAATCGTGTAGTTAACCCTTAATTTTATTATGTATACATTTCATTCAGATATATTTTGGCTTTTTTAATTATAATTATTCGAACTTGTTTTGTGAACTTTTCCAAATAAATAAAGTAATAGTACTATTAGTGATTAAGGCTTTGACTATTTCATAGCTCAAACTTTGTGCATTTGTGCTCCTTACAAATTGGAAAGGCGTTATTATATTAAAAAATCCTATTAATTATTTTTTTTTGAGAAATACCCGGGTCAGATTAGTTAAAAAATAACCTTCAAACAGGCTATGTAGGATTATGTCGTGTTCTATAAAATGCGTTTAATATATTTTGTTTTTTATAGGACGTGAGACTCATCAAATTTTTCAGATAAAATCATTTAATTTTGGATAAAGACAATATTAAATGCATGAAACTCGATTTTCATAAAAAAACGAGGTCCGACCTCACGTTTTGCAGAACGTGAAATATCATACATGAATAATTTAGGAATTATTTTTCTAACTAATCTGACAAGGAGATTATTTCTAAAAAAAATAATTAATCATGGTTTTTAATATAATAACGCGAATCGAAAACATCCAAAATAAATTAAAATAAAAAATATAAAAAAAGGAAAACATTGGTCTACGCGTATGGGTTAAACGGAAGCTAAAAACTGGGTACAGCTGTCTCAGAAGTCAGAACAAGTCTATTGTATGTGGGCGGTGTAAAACGGTGGACGGTGAAGAAACGCAAAACGCAGCGTTTTATTACTGAACATGCGAATTAAAATACTAATTCAATCTCAGATGAAATTTGATGGTCTATACGACACGAGTTAAAATTAAACCCTCAAGCTGTCAAAAAAAAAAATTTAACCTTCAAATGTATCTTCAAAAATTACAATCAAATTGTACTATTAATAAACCAAATAATAATTTATTAACATTTATATTATTTTATTATTTCTGGTCGGAAAATAGGAGTTTTGGTATTTTGCTAACTGGTCCATTTTAACATTTAAATTCGACAGACACAGCAAGAAATCTGGACATGATCAACTCCAAGAGTCGAGCTTCAAAAGACCCTAAAGCGACAAGACTAATTACGCAAGAAGGTCCCCCCACATCATCTTTATTTTCACTTTGATCCCTTCGACAAATTCAAGTTCAACTGCCAACTAAAAAAAGGTAAAATAAGTTGCAGAAAGTTATCACTGATTAAAGCTTTGACTATTACGTAGGTCAGATAGTGGAGGAACCTATTTTTCTCCTTAGAGGTGTTTGTTGGATTCTCATGGAAATCCCACATTTCCATGTTTGGTTGGTCGGGAATCTCATTTTCGGTAATATTTTATTACCAATAGTATATTTTTTGGGTATATTACCGGGAATGTCATTACCTCACTTCCCTTAGGTATTGTAACATTACCGGTGTTTTTGGACTAAAATACCTTTAAATTTTTATTTTTTTTCAAAAATATCATTCTTCTGTCATTGAATAATAAAAATTCTATGAAGGTTAAATTACAAATTTATCCTTAAATTATTTTAGATTTTAAAAATATATATATAATTAAAATTTTATATGAAGTTCAGAGATTAATTTTTTTTACCCTTTTATTAAACCTTTTTTATATTTTTAAGTTTGTAAAAAAATTATATAAATATTATGAATTTAATTTTTTAAAGAAAATATATAAATATTTTACAATTTATAATATTATACAAATATATAATAAGGACAATTTGGTCAAATATACATTCTAATAATCTTTTATTCTTTTAACCAAACACGGTAATCTTACATTCCTGCTAAACCAACCAAACACAAAATACAACATTCCCAGTAATCCTATTCCCTGGTAATATTTTATTCCCACTGGTAATCTTACATTCCGTGAACCAAACGCAACCTTAAAAGTTTGGAACTTTCTAAACATAAATAAATTGAGGTTATATACTAATTGTCACTTCTATTTTAGCTTTCTTGCTCTCGATTTATCATAAAATGATCACTCAGATGTTAACTCGTGTTACATTAGTGACACGTCACATTAATAAAAATAATAATTTATAATTTGATCCTTAACTTATTTTAAATTAAAGGTTAAAATTTGATGTATTGAAATTATTTAATTAGATTAATTGATTGATAATTAATTATATATTAAATTAAATTAATTTTCTGGGTAATTCAATTGGGTTTATATTTAAATCTCTGGGTTGGGTTAATATTTTTACTTTTAGTTGGGTTGGGTTTGATTTTATATGGGCATTGGGTATTTGGATATTGGATTAGGAATAAATACAGAGTTTAGGGTCTATCTATTAATTAAAACAATGAGGGTAAACTATATCATTGGCCTTCTAATTATAATATTTTTTTATTTTAACTACCATTTTTTAATTTTTATCAATCAAATCACCCAATTATTTAAATGCATTCAATAAGTCACTTGCCATTAGATATGAAGTTTTGACGCTAATAAAATCGGTATAATTACACATTTGATCTTTAATATTTCTACATTCTTTCAATTTAGTCATAATTTTAATTTAATTCAATAAATTTAATCTCGAGTCAATGGTGACATATGTCATTACCAGATTGGAAGATATTTTATTAATTTTAATTATTTAATTTATTTTATTCGGTTGCAAGAGCATCTCATGAAGCATCGCTTTCGCTCCCTCACTGATACCGTGAACATTGTTTTCGTTTTCTGTTCGGTCGGTGTTAGCCCTCGGCCTCTCCGAATCGAGTTTTGATTCATAGACAGACATTTGATGCCTACAGACCGGGCAGGAACTATGAAGCTCGAACCATGGCAATATACACTAGCGGTGAAACTTGTGTTTACATGCCATTTCCTTCGCTTCCATACCAGCCTCGAGATCATCCAAACACACGGAACTGTCCGACTCATTTGCCGCAACAATAAGTCCAGACCAGGACTCATGAAGTAATCGCCTAAAGACCTTGTATGGTTGGAGTTGGAGTTTAGACCAGTCAGATTGGAATCGTAAGAACCTTTGACGATGATAGTTTGATTGAAAGGATTGATTAAAATCCCTCGCACCCGTCCCCTCTCTTGATCCCTGATCGCATTCGTATCGCACTATCGTTCTCGGAATTCTCCACTTCAGATGCAATTCAATCTCTAATTCCTTGAAGCAATTATAAAAATAGAAATAATGAATATCAAACATATAATTATACCAATTTTATTAACAACCACGTCAGCATTTTAATAGAGAAAGATATAGATGTTTTTCGGTTAAACGGACACCATATTCTTGTTTAAAAACATCATGTGAGTTTGATGAAATTTTTTTAGTCTCATCGGTCAGTATCAATGACGACGACCAATAGTGGCCAACGCGGCAAATGATGGTTAACTTTAAAAAAGATGGAGAGAAGATGAGATGGAGAGAGAAGAAGAAAAATGAAGAAGACAAAATATGAATTTATAGGTTCAAAAGCTAATATCGTTTTGATGTAAAATTAATTTTTTGAAGAATATTATTTTTATATTGTATGTCATGTCATAGCGTCGTTAACTATTTAAAAACTGATCAAAAAGGAGCAATCCAAAAGTTTACTGATTAAATTGAAAGTTTAAAAGTTTATTGTGCAAAATAAGAGAAAAAATAAAATTCAGTGAGAAAATTTGTAATTTACCCTTTGTTTAAATCTTTTTTCTATTAAACAAAGGTGATATATTTTCTAAATATTATCGATCATTTCATAATGAACATCCAATCCAGTAATTTTTAGTAAGAACAACGATTTTTTTTATCACCGAGATAAGTTACTTCGTATCCTTTTATGTGCATGTGTATATATAAAAGAAATGACAAGGCAAAAATGATCGGAAACCAAAAAGCAACAATCAAAATTTATATTACAACAATGCAAAATTGAAGTTGAGAAATTAAAAGTGTAATCAAACAGAAATTAATTACGTCCAATTCCGTTATCGGTTTTTACAGGAAAAAAGTAAACGCAATTATAAGTTCGGACTCCCTGAAATTTGCTGTACCGAACAAGCCACCAACCGCGCCCATTGTCGCAACCTAGTCTTAACCGTCTCAGGATCGTCGCCTATTTTTTTAAAATCAAATAAAACAATTAAGAATCCGGTTTTGATATAATTAATTGAATTTAACAAGAAAAACCAGTTTAATCTTAAAACTTACATTGATCAATTATGTTGCTAGTGTTGCCAGATTCGCAGCAATAACCTGTCGGAGATGAGGACGAAGTCGGCGGCAATCTACAGCTATATTGACGATTAACGGCACAGTAAAACAGCAAAGCGGGTAGAGTATCCGATAGCTTCGGATCCAGTTCAGGCGAGTCCGTTTCGAAACCGAAACCTAACTCGATACAGCCTTTGAGCTCCTCCAAATCGTCGTTCGAGAAGCTCTGAGATCGGCGGAGGCTGCTGCCGTGGCTTTCCTTCCTCCTCAGCCACGCTTCGTCTCGCTCCACGTCAGGAGACCACGAACGTTGCTTGTACAAAGGCCGTGATTGTTGCGGAGGCCGGTAACGTCTCGGCATCGAGTTCAGAGCCGTCGTCGGACGGTGTTTTCACGGCGGCTAAGGTTTTTCGGTGTCGTGGGAGCAAAGGGGGAGGAGATTTTGGGACGTTTCTTTTAGAGAGTTACCTGGCGTCTCAAAGTGTACGCATATCTATATAGGGTAATATCCACATATTGTTTATTGTTGATATAAACATTTTGGGTTTATACACCAGTTAGCCTTTGAATTATATCTATTTTCTCAATTTAATCCCTATTTTACCTTCTTTTAGAAGAAAAAAAATCTAAGACGAATGTGAAATGTGGCGCATTCGTTTTGGGCGCCATTAATTTTTTAATAAATTGGAATGAAATGATAGCCAAGTACAAAAGTGAGTAATAATTTTACGTACCAAAGTATAAAATGATATAAGCTAAGGACTAAATCACATATATGGTCTAAAAGTTCTGGGAGTTAGAGGGGAGGGGAGGGATCTTTTTATATTATTTTACTTCTTTGGGGCGTTATGTTTGTAAAATCATCAAATTTGTTGGGGTTGGTAAGCCAATGTGGATCCACTCTAGATTATAAAAGGCCAATTAGTCATTTATGGCCACATGGGTAAAGCTGTCAATTAATGATTAATTTATAATTATTTATAAATTTGAGGTTTTTTGTTATAATAATTAAATTATTTAAAAAATTCATTTCATTTATGTATTTAAGCGTATTTAAATGGCCCTTAGATAAGACTTCAAAACAAAAGGCCCTTAGATATTAAATTTTAAACAACATATATCAATCTATTTTTAATTATTTTCACATATTTAAATATAGATTTAAATAAAAAAATATGCAGAGAATTTAAAATCAACGTGAATATTAATTTTCAATAACCCATTATTTGAATTATTCATACGGATAACAATAATGATGAAAGAACGAAGCTGGAAATTAGGAAGATTTGGGACTAATAAAATCAACTCAACTATTTATGATCCCCCTTTTGTTCTGTTTCGATGTTGGCTTGAACCATAGTCCAGATAAGAACATGGACACCCTGATATTCCTTCCAATCTGGCACAATCCCCCTGGCCGAATCACTCCGACCGGACTCTACTTGAAATTCTAGCACAAACACGACACGAATACAACGAATGTTTCGCAAACTATACACGAACACGACATGTAATATGAACGGCATCGCCCAGAAAGAAAGCACAAAGCAGTGCTTGGACTTCAGAAATGGAAAAGAAACTTTTGACTAAGCCAGATCAGTTAGCAGATTCGAAAGTGCAACTCGTTCCGGATTCACGGTTAACCGATAATCAACCCGAGCTCCGGCTCGACTGCTCACACATATAAAGTGTAATCCCTCATTCATTGTTGATTCACGTCACCAGTAGTCACCACGAGAGCAAACCTCGTCTATGAAATGATGAAAATGGTTCGAGTCCCGGTCGTTGATCTCTCGATCAGTTATTTTAGATGTGTATTTGGTTGCATTGTGGCAATCATCACACACTCTCAGGTTCTTGAATATTAGGATTGGAGTTTTAGGAGGGGTGTTAGAATTCCGAAAGCAATCGCCAATCTCTCGCTATGGCTCTTAAGGATATGCTCCTCCTCATCGTCTTCGAAATCCTGCAAAACAAAACTGTAGACCGGAACATAGCCTAGACTTTTCATTTTAGCATTCAAACTCCTCAACTCCTTGTATATCTCCTCACATTTTGGAAGGCTTTGATTTCCGGTGTAAAAGACATCAACCTTGTTATTCACCTCGATCGAGCTCCATCCAGGAGTCTTCCTCAATCCCATATCTCTGGCTTGTGTTTTTACTTTATCCACTACTTCCCATTTCTGGATATTTGCATAGATGTTGAACAACAGAACATAGTACCCGGCATTCTGAGAATCCACTTGAAACAAGCGTTCGGAAGCAATGGCACCCAAATCTACGTTTCCGTGAATTCGACAGGCACCAAGAAGGGCACCCCAAACTGATGCATCGGGCTTTATTAGCATGTTTTTTTTTATAAAATTATATGCCATTTCTAGATGCCCAGCTCGACCAAACATATCTACCATGCAACCATAATGCTTCAAAATAGGCTCAATTCCGCACTCTTCCTTCATCATGTTAAAGAACCACTGACCTTCGACCAAACCTGAATGGCTACAAGCTGAGAGCAGAGATACAAAAGTTATGTGGTCCGGCTTCACTCCCTTTTCTCGCATCTCTCTAAATAGTCTAAGAGCTTTCTCAGCAAGCCCATGAATTCCGAGACAAGATATTATGGCATTCCAGGGGACGGAATTCGTTTTGGGTACTTCGTAGAACAAGGACATAGCGTCATCTAGTTCTCCACATTTCCCATACATGCGCCTAAGCTAGAATAAGCAGGTAAGATGCTGACCCATGTTGCTTGATTTGGTGCCACCTCCTTGTACGCTTGCATCAGGTTGAATGCTTCGATAGCCTCACTTGCCAAACCATTCTGAGCATAACCGGTGATTAAAGTGTTCCAAGATACCACGTCCTTAACAGGTCGGGCATCGAAAACTGCACGTGCAGAGTTGATGTCACCCAATTTACCGTACATGTCAACCACTGAATTTCCAGAGATGACAGCTTTCTGAATCCAACCTCGCCTTTTGACAAATCCATGGACGGACTTAGCACTCCGAGAATCACCTAATTGAGCAACGATAGACTCACCAGAGTCAGATGATCAGGACTAATCCCAGTAAGCTGCATGTTGTAGAATATAGTTAGTGCGCTGTCTGGATCATCATTTTGCTCATAGGCAGCAATTATCGAGTTCCAAGAGACCACATCCCTTAGTACCATGTTATCAAGAACCTTCTGCACATTTGCCAACTTACCGAACTCGGCGTACATGTTAATCAAAGCATTAGACACAAACAAGTCGAACTCCAACCCACGTTTTACAGCATATACATGAATCAACATTCCATTTAAAATATCATCTGATTGTACACAAATTGGAAGAATGCTAACAATAGTAACTGGATCCATTATTACCCCTTCCAATCTCATCTCATTCAGAACATCTAATGCCTCGGCAGCATTGCCATTTTGACAGTATCCAGAAATCATTCCATTCCAACAACCCATATCTCGCAATGGCATATCATCAAATAATTTACGAGCATAGCTGAAAGCTCTGAACCTGGTATACATATGAACCAAGGAAGCGGTGACAAACACATCCCGTTCGAATCCAGGTTTTAGTACCAAGCAATGTATCCTCATTCCATCAAGTGGATTCTTACAAGCTTTTAGCACAGGAGCAGAAGTGTAGAAATCAGGTCGAAGTCCAGAGGTCAAGAAAAACCGATAGAAGCAATCTACAGCTTCCCAAAAATGACCGGTACGAACATAAGTTGAAACCATTGAATTCCATGTATAAACATCCTTGTTGGGGCTATGATCGAAAGTGCGACGCGAGAATGAGACATGTCCAAGGTAAGCATAAACATTAACAAGCTTGCCGGAGAAAAAGACACTCTGAGCTTTCCCCGAAACAACAACAAGGGCATGCAAGAGCTTAGCAACGTGCACTCGGATGCAGGATTTGAATAGGCGGTCGGATGTAAATCGTAATGCATCCGAGTTAATTGTTGTTTTATCCCATTCCTTTCTCATAATGTGAGATTGTGCAGTGTGAGATAGTCGACAATACGATAATCGACTATCGTAACGCGAATATGTAAATCACAATACGATAGTCGACTATCGCAACACGAACTTCGACTATCGCAACGCGAACTTCGACTATCGCAATACGAACTTCGACTATCGCATTGCGATTTACATATTCGCATTGTGATAGTCCAAGTTCGCATTGCGATAGTCTAAGTTCGCGTTGCGAATCTGGAAACTGATTTGCGATACCGGAGATCGCGTTGCGAATTATCGATCGCATTACGATTTAGTTGGTCATTTTGACAAATCCAAAAAAAATTGGTTAAAATCGTATATTATAAGGCATTTTTGATTAATGAGGTTATTTTCTCTTTTTTTAACTAGACCTTGAACTTTTTAGTCCACCTTTCCCGTATTCGGTCATTTTGATGAAGCGGCAGTGTGAGATTGTGCACAGAGAGAGAGAGAGAGTCCAAATTTAAAAAATACTAAATTCAAGAGTTAATTGTTGTTTTATCCCATTCCTTTCTCATAATGTTTTGGTATAATAGCATTTTAGGTCCTTATTCTCGTCTCGGGTCGTGGTCGTGGTCGGGTCGTGGTCGTGGTCGTGGTAATGGTAATACGTGTCTTCGACACGTCCGCGCGAATAATATCTTTTTAGAGAAAATTCTTAAGAAACAAAAGCAATATCACCAGTCGTTGCGATTTTAGACTATCGCAACGAATTTGGAATAAATCGCAACGCGAACTTCGACTATCGCAATGCGAATATGTAAATCGTAATGCGATAGTCGACTATCACAACGCGAATATGTAAATCGCAATACGATAGTCGACTATCGCAACACGAACTTCGACTATCGCAATGCGAACTTTGACTATCGCAACGCGAACTTCGATTATCGCAATGCGAACTTCGACTATCGCATTGCGATTTACATATTCGCATTGTGATAGTCCAAGTTCGCATTGCGATAGTCTAAGTTCGCGTTGCGAATTTGGAAACTGATTTGCGATACCGGAGATCGCGTTGCGAATTATCAATCGCATTGCGATTTAGTTGGTCATTTTAGCAAATCCAAAAAAAATTAATTAAAATCGTATATTATAAGGTATTTTTTGTGAATGAAATTATTTTCTCTTTTTTTAACTAACCCTGAACTTTTTAGTCCACCTTTCCCGTATTCCGTCATTTTGATGAAGCGGCAGTGTGAGATTGTGCAGAGAGAGAGAGAGAGAGTCCAAATTTAAAAAAATACTAAATTCAAGAGTTAATTGTTGCTTTATCCCATTCCTTTCTCATAATGTTTTGGTATAATAGCATTTTAGGTCCTTATTAATTTAAACTCAAATAAATTTAGATTTTTGTCTCCCGTAATATTTTAGATTAAATGTCTAATATATTTGTATTATTTTAAAATGAGATACTTCATTAATCTTAATAT